CACCCCCTCCTTAGTGAGTTAATATTTAAATACCGCTATTGGATCTAGTCTGCGCACAGACTGTCCCTTCCCCCCCGTGGTGGAGCAGAATATATTGGATCGGGCATTAGCCCGACCGATGCGTCATTAGGGGGTGGGGGTTGGCGGAGGGGGTAAAAACAAAACTTTGGGTCAACCGGTTCGGCAACCGCCGACACACTAGCCTGCGTGGCAGGCCCTCAATTTTATGGGGGGCCTGATTTGCAGCGGGCAGGATTTTGGCAATCCTCCCCCGGAGCCCGCCAAAATCCTGCCCGCTGCAAATCAGGCCCCCCATAAAATTGAGGGCCTGCCACGCAGGCTACCGAGACACAAACAATCGCTAAAAACGCAAAACCTAAAGCGGACACACTGAAGGGACCATGTCAGTATATGGGCCCGTACTCAAACAATACGCACTATACTACAAGCCAAGGAGCGACGTTACCTCCCTTGAAATATGCACTTTAAGAATTTTGAAGTTTCCTGTAAACTCCGAAGCCGTGTGGGGGAGTGGAGCTCACTGTTATCTGGGTCTGGAGACAGTTCCTCCCAACTTCAAAATTTGAGATTATTGAGACCAAGGCTGCATACTGATATAGCGGACCACGGGACCATTTGTCCCAGAAAATTTTTGAGGTTGGCAGAAAAAAAATGGAGGGTAAAACTTAAAGTCTCAAAAGAAAAAAAGTAAAGAGAAAGAAAGGAAAAACAGAAAGGAAGAAAATGAGAAAAATGGCATGAACTAGTGATGTTTGCAACATATAAGTAATACAAGTTTCCAATATACCGGTACAGGCGGCACTCCAGCAGCCTGATATTATGGTCAAAGACAGGCAGACAGAAGTCTAGCAGATATTAAGGCGAAATCCTCTATGCGGTTGTTATAATTGATTTCATCTAGTGTATTAGCTACTTCTGAAAATACCACTCCAGTTATATATGAATACAACTCATTTGACAACTACAGTATGTGGATTAAAAAGTCTACGAGTGTGGTGATTTCTTATTATATGTAGTAAAAAAATCTAAGCAATATGTTCCAATACAATGAAATGGTGCGTAGAATACACTGAATCTTGTTTAGTGATGATCAAATTTAAAAGAAACATAAGATTCCCAGTGTTTGCGTGCAGAAAATATTTTCCGTGGCTTTGTGGTCCCAGAAAATAAAATATTTTATGCAGCCCTGATTGAGACTATTGAGACAAATTCAAAACTCAAGCGTATCTACCCGAGTTGTACCCCAGGCCACTGCCCACTGGTTTTGTGTCGCTTGATGATCCCTAACCCCTCTTGCCTACGTCCATTCAAAAATTGGCTACCTCAATAGAAATGCGCTAAAATTGCTTCCATCAGAGATCCCAAGAGTGGACAACAAAGGGTCAACTTGCCTTGGGCCCGCAACCTGACAGGACCTGGCTTCTCATTTGAAAAACGTCCCGCTTGAAGCGGGATCCCGCTTGCTACAACCGGGATCCCACCTAGGCGAGACAAGACGAAAAACGTCCCGTTTCCATATAAACACAACGAAAAAATATTATAGAAATATATGCATGCCGGAATCCCGTTCATCGTCCCGTCCCGCCTCTCATATAAACAGGCCCTTATTAGTGAGGCATGCTTTCATCCTAAAATTACGAATTTTCATTTACACCCCCTATGACTTTTCATTGGGGACACACACATGGCCAAAGCAAAGCTATTAACCCAGTTGTGAACAATAGAAAAACAAAATCTGTTGTTATCTTTGTCTTTGAAGTTGTTTAATTTAAAACATTTTAGGTAATGTTTGTGGTGCAACTCTGAGCCGAGTGCATCCACACCGGGCAAGCTGAAAAGTTTGCGGCCTCACCCGCGAAGGGAAATTTCATGTGTACATTGGGTAGTGGCATTACTACCCAATGTATATGAAACACAAGTTTGTTTCATTAAAATGCACGCTTGTGCATTTTAATGAAACAAACTTGTGTTTCAAATATTATTTATTATGGTTTAACAAAAAGTTATGTTATAAGATTTATTTGATTAGCATAACAAAATTACTGGATGCTGATTGGTTGAGAGGAGTACAATTATTTCATTAATTGTACTGCAGTACAATTAATGATTTTCCCAAAACAAACAAAATGCATGGCGGAAAGTTATTTTAAACACAAGCGTGAAATTGCCGTGAAGGAACTAGATGAAAATACGAACAAAAGGACCAAATTTTGCTTGAACAAAAGAACTAAATGAAAATACAAACAAAAGCACCAAATTTTGGTTGAAAATGTGGCAGAACTGGGCTTTGGCGAGAGAATATGATGTTGACATTGAGAAGTACGTATCCAATTTTGTCATGCTAATAATAAGTACTCGCCCCGGCGGCTCGTCCAATTTTGGCAAAATTTCCAAACATCACTCGTACTATTAATCCCTAATTGTACTCGCCATCGCATGATTACCTATACTAATTAGTACATTAATTAATTACTGCAATTAAATCAGTCTACTTACAGTATATTTATTGATTTTAATTAATTGATTAAAGTAGTCTATGAACTAAATACTAGTATAGTATGATTCATTCATTCATTAAATCAGTCTCATGTTCATGTCTGGCAAGGTTCAACCATAAGTTCATAACTCAATGAAATCGTATATCGTCAATGTTTGGCTGTTTCCACACACAAATGATTACATATTAATTAATGATCTACTTAGTATGGTTGCATAATAGGCCTGGTCATTTTTCAATTTCTCATGGCCTTATGAAAAGTTGTAAATGTTTGTATTGCAAATTTAGAACGAAGCTTCAGTTGTCACTGGTCTCACTAGAAACACCACGTAAGGGAGATTGCAAGATAATTACAATGTCATTTTCCATAATTCCCCTATACTTATTTCAGGCATGTTTCAGGGGGATTTTTGGTAAGGGGGAGCTTAAAAAAGTCAAGTGACTAAAAATAAGGCAGAACTACCCAACATATTTGCACCAATTAATAAATTTAATCAATACACACAGGGACATCGCTACCAGGGGGGAGGGGTGTAACACCCCCCCCCCAATAATTCAAAACATTGGTCAAAATGGAACTAATATTTGCTGAAAATTGAGGGTCAAAATTGGTAAAATTTCAAAGTTTGAGATAAAAGATTGTCAAAGTTATGAAATCGTTCACAATCACAATTTTAACAATTTATAAGCTTTGGTCATGTTTGCTCTGAAAAAATATTATTTTGGTTGAAACATATTGTGAAGCTTTGCACCCCCCCCCCCCCATTTCAAAATACTTGATCAAAATTTTACTTGGTCAAAATTCAGCCCCTCCCCCCAATGTTGATGAATACACATTTGTTTCTTTGCTTTGAAAGGGAAACCCAAAGGGCTTAAAAAGGAGAGCGGGGTGGATTTCAATTACTTTTCTTCTAAATAGGCAGGATTTTTTCACTCACAGGAAGGGGTAGATAGAGGATTTAAGGCATTAGTCATATGCATATATGATGCCACAACATTCTACATATTAGCTGCTTGTTTTATTGACTAGTGTTTCATATAAATTATATTTGTTGCTACCGTACAAGTGGGCACCAAAAATGGCATATTTGGCCTGATTGTGCTATACTTTAACTTGATAACTGATTTTACTGCAGGGGCGTAGGAAGCTTCTAAAAGTTGGGGGGGGGAGTCTTTGAGGTGCACTTTCCGAATAAAGAAGGGCATCTAAAATTTCTTTCACAGAGGGGTTGGTGACGAGGGTGGGGGTCTCAAAAACTTTTTCCGGACATACCAAAAAATATTTTTCCGGATATCTCACATTTTTTCCTAAATATGAAAAACTTTTTCCAGATATACCCAAAAATTTTCTGGATATATCATTTTTTCCCGTGCAAATGAATAAAATTTTCCGGAAAATAACATAAATTCAAGTTTTCAAAAGTGCCCTTTGGGCAAAAAAAGGCAATCCTTAAGACATTTTTCATGCAAGAAAAGGGCACTTTGCTCCCGGAAAAAAGGCACTTGGCAAAACTTGGGGGGGGGGGGCACCGGTTCCTACGCCCCTGTTTTACTGTGAATGCAGGAAAATACATAAACAGGGTTCACGCCGGTTCTTGAAAAGCACTTAACTTGAAAACCCTTGAAAATACAAAATCTCTTAATTAATTAAAAGACATTCAGAAAAGTACTTGAAAATCATACAAATATTAGAACATTAAAATAGCAGAGACCACTGTGCAGTTTTGATAGCACCAACTTCTTCAATATGCTCTATATCTCTTTCCATGTGCAGTGCTCTTGTTTTCAGGGATTTCTTTTCAGGGATTTTGTATGGCTTTAGGGATTCTTGTAGGGAATTGCAAGTTGTTAAGATTTCCAAAGGAATTTTAAAGCTTCCAAAAACTACTTTATTGGTATGAACCATTTAGACTAATTTATGTAGTTTGTGTCTGTTTGTACGTAATGAAAATCTACCAATCAGATGTTACTGAGCCAGTGATGTAAAATCTAAATTATGTGTCCGCTATTTTTACATGAAAATATAACGACACGCTTGTTGGGCGGGAGGAAGCATATATGCAATTTTGGTAGCAGAATTTTAGGAAAAACTGAGGAATTTCACAGCTCCCTGTCCATGTGTTGACAGCCACGGTGGCATGCAGTGATGGGAAGATCAGTGTACTAAGCGACCCTGATATTATTTACTATATTTGGATTGTATTCTGTTTGTAAGACACTGGAAAAATCCTTGAAAACTTTTAGTCCTTGAAATGCCTTTAAATTGTTTTGTTTGCGGCCTGCACAAACCCTGATAAAGTTGTCGCAACTTTGTTTATAAAGTTCATTATTTAAGCACAAAAATGTAAATAAAGCTGATCACATGTGCAAACAGAGTTTTAAATAACCATTTTTAAATCAATTTTATGTGCAGTACAACCAGCTTCTATAGGGTTTATAGTGTGACAAAATCTGTGTGCATGATTGGTTAATGTAGTTACAGCTACATTTTAAAGTAAATATGCTGATATCAGCAATATTTTTTCAAAACTCCTATAACTGATGACAAAAATATTGTCCTGAGCCAAAATGTTTCAGGTGAATACTCACAGTAACAGCATATGAAACATAAAAACAACCAGCTGTGTAGCTTTCATTTTAGCATCACATGCAGACACCTATTATAAAAATTAAATAATTAATTTATGCTTTATAATTTATTACTCAAAAATTCCAGCAAAACAGTGAACTTTCTCGCAAACAAGGAATGTCCACCGCCGCCACCAGCATTTCTTTCAAATCTGTAAAAGTCTCCCGGTTCTGCCAGCTTGACAACAGGATGAGTGACGAATACACATGTAGAGTTTGCCCAATCATGCCCTGCTATACCAAATATATTAGTCTTTTCAGCAATAACCATGTTCTGCCCTGAATCACGTCGCATAAGCTTCACGATCAACTGGCCTTTCCTATTGCCCCAGCCTTGGTCCTTCCACTCAACAGACGCTCTAAAACGCTTTACTTTTCCTTTCAAATCTGGGCCATCAAAGTAAAATTCTGGTGTCCAGTGTCCAGTATGAGGACCAGTTATTTTAAAATCTTCGCCAAGAAAGCGCACGTACTGAGGAAGAAGCCCAAGAAACCTCTTGCATGTCAACGACAATCGAACACATTCGGCTGGCGAAAGATATTCGGCAATTTTCAGCAGTACAAGGTCTGGCAGACCTTCCATTTTGCTTCGATTTTGTCATCTGCAGTAGGGATGGGCCGATATCGATACCAAATACTCGATACTATCGATAGTATACCGGGGTTTTGAAGAAAAGTATCGATACTGGCACAGAAATATCGATGTTTCGATATTTCTGCGCCTGCGATATTTTTAATTTTGGTCAGCGACATCATCATGCCAATTGGGTTATAGATTCATGTCTCGCTATTTACAATGCTAACCCTAATCCCCACCCTGGCACCCTAACCCTAACCCTAACCGCTTACGCTATTAGCGAGACATGAATCTATATCCCAAAATCAAGGGTGCGTTGACTACAAAATTTTTGTAGTTCGCTATAACTACAGCTACTTCAAAAATATGTAGTCAGCTACAACTACTGCTACTTTTGAACAAAGATAGTTCGCTACTGACTACAGCTACAACTTAAAAAATGTAGCGAACTATTTCGCTATTTCGCTACGCTATATTAGTGTTACTGTATCTGGAGCATCTACTAACTCAGGCTGAAATGTAACCTATAACAAATCGACTTATGAATAGCAACAGTAAACACAAAGCAACATTTTTGTAAGCACTACAGTGTTCAAGAGTGCAAATTGACTATTGAGTATTGATTTTAAGCAAACCGTGTCTCAATATCATTCCATTCTATCAAGTTGCTAACAATTTTAGAAAGTAGCGAATAGCGATTCGCTGTTTGAAAAGTAGTCAACTACTTGGCTACTTTTAGGCAAAATGTAGTTCGCTATAACTACAGCTACTGTTTTAAAAAAGTAGTCAAAAACTACTGGCTACTTGAAAATTGTAGTTCGCTACAGTAGCGAACTACAACTACTTCGCTACAACCCACCCTTGCCCAAAATGAATACCAAAAAGCCTCAAAAGCCCAAATAGGCGTAAATACAATAAAAGTAGTTCATTTTCTATGGTGCTACTATGGTCCACGGGCAGGATGGGAGTTTCTGGTTACGTTGGTTGCAAGCTCACTGACATATGTTATTCAATGTTTATATTGTTAGCGTTGTTGCCGTTGTTAATGATTAAAAATAGTCTTTTTGTTGTTATGGTTGTTCGAATTGGGAAAATATCGATATCGAAAAAAAAAGGCAAATATCGAGGAAATATCGCATCGAATGAAAAAGCTGGTATCGCCCATCCCTAATCTGCAGACTGCAGTAAAATCTGGAACGCTATTAGCCCGCAACTAGCCCGCAAAATACAGGGCCTCTGCTTGCTCTTCGAAACAGACCAGGGGTGGGTTTTCTTAGCTCTAACCATCATGGGCGTACCGGAAGGAAAAAATTAGGGGGGCGGAAAGATATTTGCCCGACTTTTCGTATTGTGCCCGACTAGTACCCCCCCACATATACAAAATATGCAAACTTCGCAAGGCTAAACTTTCCGTATTTTACAACATAACCAAATTTTGTAACCAAATTTTGCAATTTTACTATAAATTTTAATAAGTTCTTTAAGGAAATTTACTTTTTTTGCCTAGATCAAAAATTAGTCTAACATGCAAGTTGTCTCTTGATTGACCCCCAGATGCGCGTATTTGGCTTCAAGAAAAAGATAAGCAGTTTCTGATCTGATTCATCTGAAGGTAGCGTACCAGTTATATTCATTTCAATGGTAATCTTATAAAGTGGCGTAGCTGGCTGAAAAAAATCGTCCCGCCGAAGGCGGACCCCTCGCACCGAAGGTGCGACCTTCCTAGAGGGGTTCGGGGGCATGCCCCCCCGAGAAAATTTGAAATCTAGAACCGCGGAAATGGCATTTCCTGCGATTTCGAGGGTGGAAGAATGCCACTAAACAAAGTTTCCATACACCTCTAACAGGAGTATTTTCGCTTCGTAAAATACAAAAAATGCCATCTGGCCCAGAGAAGATCTGTGTGAGCCCAGAGAAGTGTTGTGCTAGGCAAAAGTATTGCCTTCTGCACTGAGTACTGCGTATAACGTTATACCGACCGCGTATAATGTCTCAAGCACCGCGTATAATGCTAAAAGCACCTCGTATGTCTCAAACACCGCGTATATTATTAAATAAATGTCTCAAGCACCACGTATAATGTTAAAAGCACCTCGTACAATGTTGCGTGTAACCCATATATCTTGATATATGTCAAAATCGTCGCATATAATGCTCGAACTCGAAGTGTAGCACCGCGTATAATGTAAAGAGCACCTCGTATAACGATAAAAGCACCACATATATAATGCTAAAAGCAACGAATGAAATGAAATTCCGCTGTGGCTTTCCATAAGGCTCGTCACGCTCGTTGAAGCCATTGTATACAAATCACAAAAGCAAATCAAATATGATATGAATAGTAATATGATGACCTACCACCGTCACAGTCGTGAATACTCGCGCAGAAAGCTTCGTCAGAAAGGTTTGAATATTAACAACCTCCGCCTTCATAAAATAGCGGGACTTCGGCATTAAAAACAACCGTTCTGGGCATGCGCTGCGCCAATTATCCAACCAGAAACCAGAATTTCTTGTATAAGATAGTATTGCGTATCCCGCCACATGAAAATCAGCGGAACACGAGACATGCGATTCACGAATAGCGTGAGTAAGCAAGAAATTGCGTGGAAATTAGCTAATTCTACAGGGTATCAGTCACTAGACAACAAAGAGGTCAAAGAGCAGACAGCAATATTGCGTAAACTTTAAATAAATGACAAATGAAAGCGCTGAACAATTACCATAATTATATTTAAATTTTCAGAATAAGCAAATTAGCAGTGATTTTGGCTTCATTGGCTTCACTATAAAACATTTACACATTTTTTTGGAAATTGTTAGTCCCGCCCGGCGGGACAGCGGGACCGCTAACTACGCCAATCTACGAAGACCACCTCACCTCCTGCATCCTCATTTTCCTAGCCTGCAAGCAGGCGTTTATTTGGGTTAGGGCCACTGCTTGTCATTTTGGAAAAGGCCTCTTCGAGTCTTTGAATGTTCATGTTAGGCTAACAACTCAATTGTCTGCATTATCATATTGTATCAGCTTATTTCAACTGACACATATCTGCATTCAATGCAAGGATATTTCACTCCAAAAATCCCATACACTTTGCCGGCAAAGAATGTATCGCCTTATTCCTAAAAATCTAGGGAAAATCCGGTACAATTTGGAAAATCTGTCAAAGTCCAAATTTAAAATGACGCGTGAGGAAAATTTTGTGTGTGACAATATAAAAAAATACAGTGGTGGATTTAGGGGGGGGGGGTGCGCACCCACCCCCCGGCTCTGGTCAACAGGGGAGCATGGGGGGGGGCAAAACCAACCAACTTATGTTAATGAATTCAGTTGGGTATCACTAGTTGACAATAGCGGAATAGCCAATATTAAATATTCTGAATTTCGAAATGTTTTGAGAATCTAAAAATTTTCCAGAATGTTTTTTCAGAGAACTTCACAAGGGGCCAAGGCCTAATGTAATCATTGTGTATTTGTGTTCTGATAAAAAAAATGGAAATTATACCGAACCTAATTGCATGATTATTTGCTAAATTGCTTGGCGACCGATCGAAGTGCAGACGAGCAGTTCTTCAATGGTAAGGTACTGCTTCCCCCCTGCTGCTCCCTGCACTGTTTAGGTAAGGGGGGGGGGGCGTAACGGGAGCAGCTGCCACCGCGCTCCTCCACCAGCAGGTTTTGAGCCTTGTCGGTAGTGTCTAAAAGGGATCAGTGGACAAGAGGTAGTTTACGACTTACGTGATGGTGGTTCCAAAAGTGGTTCTTTTACGTTTTAATAATCTTAAACAAGGCTGGCGGCCATCTTGAAAACATGCCTGATGCCTCGACCCTTGCGTATGATGTAAACCAATCATAGTATATCTTTTCCTATGCTGTTCGTGACATGCATTAGCTAGCCTGCGTGACAGGCGTATGCATATGCAGATGATGACCCCAATTTTTAAACTATTTTTACAAGAATCTTCCAATGATCGTAATGAGGACATGAGGTTGAAAGCGTGAGTTGAAGCATGCCTCACCCTGATGATCGTGAAAAAACTGCCTTTGTCACGCCTGGCGGCTTATATGAATTTAATCGTATGCCTTTTGGCCTAGCAACCGCGCCCGCAACATTCCAACGAGCCATGGAAGTCCGAACTAGCTTTAGCTGGCCTTACATATAGTATTTGTCTTTGCTACTTAGATGACATAATTATCTTTAGTAACAGTATTACTGAACATTGTAACCGATTAAGAGCGGTCTTAACTCGCTTCCGGTAGCATGATTTGCGCTTAAATTTGGCAAAATGTACTTTCGCAGCTAAAAAAGTTAACTATTATATCCGAAGACGGAGTTAGCCCGCTCCTGTCAAAAATTGAAGCAATAAAGCAGATTCCTGTGCTGAAGACAGTGAAGGAAGTCCAACGTCTTTTAGGAAAGAAAGTGGCCGACGTTTTTTAGATCTACTGGAAGCATTCAATCTTCAGCAACATGTTACAAATTCTACACATCTTCATGGCAACATATGAGAAGGATGTTTCTACTCTGATTCAAAAATCAGCTAAAAAAACATGTAAAATCGGATCCAATGCCTACTTCATTAATTATTGATTGTCTGGATGTTTTGCTCCCTTTTATCACCAAAATGGTTAATGTGTCATTAACACTGAACAGGTCATTTCCCAAATGCATGGAAAGAAGCTCTTGTCAGTCCGCTGTTTGAGAAAGGATGCGAAGATATGTTTGTTTCCAAAATCATTGGAAACTTGCTTCCAAAATCACCGAGAGAGCAGCATCTGATCAAATCTATAACCATATTTTGGCTAATAATGTGTTTCCCCCACTACAGTCTGCTTACAGGAAACACCATAGCACAGAAACGGCGCTCCTTAATTAAAGTTATAAACGATATCCACGTTAACATGAACAATCAACAGGTAACGTTATTAGTATTTCTGGATTTGAGCTCCGCGTTTGATACTGTTGACCATGATATTTTGATTAATCGTATACAAACAAGTTTTGGAATAACAGACACTGCTTTACTGTGGTTCAAATCATATCTATCTGGCCGCTCTATACGTGTCACTATTGACGAAAGTACATCGGAAATTAAAGCCATAA